TGAAACCTAACCATGTAGGTGATGGTATTAAGAGGGGAGGTCTCTGGGAAGTGATTAGTTCACCCTTATATCCCATAAGTCACTATGGGATTAGTGCCCTTGTGAAAGAGGCTTGAGGCCAGGTGCATGCCTGTAATCCCAGCACTTTGGGAGGCCAGGGTAGGCAGATCACTTGAGGTCAGGAGTTTGACTCCAGCCTGGCCAACATGGTGATACCTCGTCTTTACTAAAAATGCAAGAGTTAGCTGGGTGTGGTGGTGCATGCTTGTAATCCCAGCTACTTGGAGGCTTAATCACTTGAACCTGGGAGGTGGAGGTTGTAGTGAGTCAAGATCACGTCACTGCACTCTAGCCTGGGTGACAGTGAGACTCTTGTCTCAAAACAAAACAAAACAACACAACAACAACAAAGAGGCTTGAGAGAGCTTGTTTGTTCCTTCTGCCATGTGAGAACACATAGAAGCCACCATCTATGAAAAATGGGCTCTCACCAGACACGAAATCTGCTGGAAACTTGACCTTGGATGCCCAGCCTCCAGAACTGTGAGCAATACATTCTGTTGTTTATAAATTACCTAGGCTAAGGTATTTTGTGTGGCAGCCCTGAATGGACTAAGACATGGGGCTGTTATGCATTTGTCAGACATTGGAACAGGGACCTCAGGAAGGAGCTCTCAAAATTACTTAAAATCAGTCTTCTGTCACTAATCTAAATCAAAATGTGATAGAGAAAGTTGAGTTCAAGTATAATCCAATTCCTTATAACATTCTGAGCCCGTAAAAGGAGACACTTTTTTTTTGCATGATAAAAAGAGGAAACTGGGGACACAGCAAAGATGAGCAATGTGACCTCAGTAAATCAATGAGGTAAGAGACCAGGAGCAGAGACAAGGCATGAATTTTCCTGAGTTAGTCAGCGAGCACTGGAATGAGCTAATGTTATGCACTGACACGCTTGTAGTGCACCCCGGGAATCTCTGTTTCTTTGGTCCATCCCTTAAGTCCCGACAAAGATGGTAATGCAAGTTATTTTGTTGGTTTAAATTTGAAGCTGTAGTCTTCCTTTGTGTCTTCTTGCCCTAGGAGGGTAAAAGTAGTTCTTATGGACAAAGAAAAGCCTATAAGTAACCCTTCAAAAGCTCAGAATTTATGTCATCCATTCTCTTTTCAGACTGAATTAGACTTCTACTGCTCTTCTTCCGTGGGTCTTTTTTGGTGTTTATGACGGCAAACAGTGCACATCGCATTCTAGACTTCCTCACTAGAACTGAGATGTATATGGCAGTACAGGCAGGAAGATAAAATACGTTTTATGGTGGCAATATGGTGCCCTTTTGGTCTGGCTTTGGGGACAAATCAGGACACATACATGTGGCTTTATCTCTGAAAGACACCTTAAATTAGTTATATGAATTGATAAATTGTTATTTAACTGACTGCATGAACCAACTACTATCAATTTTTATGGCTAAATGAGAAGCTCTGGAGTGACATATGTCTCGGATCTGAAAAACTGGAAGTCATTAGCTGGCAACCTGAAGACTGTAAACTCGAGTTCTCGGCCCCAAGAGAGCCTGAATGAAGCATAAGCTGCAACATTACTTTGCTCTCCTCGACATTCGGTGTGGCAAAGGAAAATGACACACGTAATTCAGGCTGCATTGTCAAAACTTCCGCCTTATTGTTTATGATTTTTATTTTTTTAAAAAAGCATACTTCAAGTCAGTTTTCTCAGGGACTGAAAAAAGTTGATCACCAGAGCAATTCTCCTTTATAACCTAGAAAATAGATCAAGATTTGGTCTTCCACAAGTGACACGATAGCATAATGGTTAAGAATGGATTCTGGAATCAGCCAGCTGGGGTTAAATTCCAGCTCTGCCATTTTCTAGCTCTGTGACTTCGGGCAATTTAGTTTGCTTCTCTGTGTCTCAGGTTGAATGAGTTAATATATAGATACACTTAAAACAAAATTTGGTGCATGGTGGCGTCTAGGTGTTTGCTATTTATTTCAGAAGCAGAAGTAAAATTTTGCATATTTACCCAGGCATTTAGAGACTAGCTTTCAATCACTGTAAAGAAATTTTTGAGAAATATTAATGATTATAAGTTAAACACAAATGACTACTTACTCAGAAACTAAACAATCATTGGAGATAGACTTTTATTGTCTTATTTAAGTTACTAATTCACTTGTGATCCCTTAAGAAATTTGTTTATTCAAGATACATTTATCTTTAAAAGGAGTTAGATCTTTTCTAATTGTGGATTCATTGAAATACATTATAAATTGTACACATTTTGCTATAATAAGCAAATTTACCCTCCTCTTCCAATTGCTGTTCATATTTTCCCCCACTTCAGCAAATTAGCAGATGTTAAATTTCATCTTGTCACTCTAACTTTGCAAACCAATAATCACTAAAAAATAAAACTATAAAACAAAAACGAAAAAAAGATCTTTTTTCCTAGTCACAAAACTAATTTTTTTTCTTTCTCCATTCACTGCCTTTATTATGTTGAATACCTAGTATATTGCAATGTTGACCAAAAGCCATTACAAATGTTCCTTGTGAGGCTTCTAATTTAGCTCTTGAACTATGAGATCACCTTACGAAAAGAAATATGGAATTTGATTTCCTCAAGAAGCCACCATTTCTGGAATATAGTGTGAGACACAAAATAGCCAAATGCAAAGCTTCTGGAGAGGCAAGACGCTGGCCACGAAAGAGTTCTTTGTTTCTTCTTATAACACAGCACACAACATCCAGTGCTGTTAGTGCAACAGGAACTCAGGATTGATGAAAGGTCTATGAAAACAGGCGATGGATCTATTCTAGAGAGTTTTTAGTATTACTGTCAAGCATAGGTCCAAACCGACTTACTAAGTATTGACAGTTTAGTGGGATTCCACAGGGGACTGAGGTTTGGAATCTCATCACCTGAGAAAGGGTGGTAGGAAGTATACACATTTGGAGGAGGGAGTTGTCAAAGCTCTCACCCTATATTTGGAATGATGATTTGTAAAAGAGGAAGCTGTTTGGTTACCTGAGAGAGTGTAATTATCATATAGGTGAAAGTTACAGCAAATTACATTTCAACCGAGTGTAAGAAAGAACCAAGTAATAATTGGAAGCATCCAGGAAGTGGATTAGGTTGCTTTAGGATTTGGTTGATGTTTTTGTCAAATTAGCCATTCTGACATTTCATCATCTATCAGGGATACTTTAGAAGATCACACTGAACGGAAAGTGGGTCTTGCTAATCTCTCAAGTTCCTTGAAACTGTAACATTCTGAATGGACTTTAAAAATCACACTTTAAAAATCAGCCTTCTATATCAGGAACAAATGGATTGCAGCACAAGTTCCATAAAGGAAAAAAAAATGAATATGACTGTCCGAAAACAAAATAGAAAGAAATAAATGACGTACATTCTCCCAGTCTTCAATGGGATATGTAGACTTCCTCCATGAGCATTTATTAGGCACCTATTACATGCACAGTGCTATGCTAGACTATGTACACAAAACACCATGCAGTGGACAAGTGTTATATTTTTTGGGCTACTCAACCTTTGAGCTCTCTTCCTCTGTTTTTAGAAGTTCCATCACATTCAAGCCTTGAAGAGAGATAGGTTCCATCTCCTTTAATAGAAACTGTTTTTAAGTAGTCAAGGCTTATCTGCAACAAATTCATGGGAATATAATCTGGAATCTACAAATGAGAGCCATCCATTGGAGACCTGCTAAGGTTGTGAGGCTTCTTTCAAAGGGAGTGATGGTTTTCAGAAGAGTTCCAGGAACAGCAACAGCTGTGGTGCTCAGGGTGGCATTGAAGACCCAGGCTGGAGATCTCTGTGGGAGATGCTGTAGCATCAAATCTTGGTGACTTTGGCCAAAGGCATCCTCATCAACAGTTCTGCAACATGGTTTTAGGGACTGCTTCTAATTATACATCCCTAAACTTTGTTCTCCAGCCTTTTAAAAAATTCTGTGAGATATGCAGCATCTTTTAATAGTTTTCTTTTCTACCCATATCAGTTAGAGTTGACACTGTCACTGTCTTATCAGAATTCTGAGTGATACCTAAACTGACACCAGGAATGGTTGCAAGCAACTGGCTTTCAATGATATAGGGGAATCTAGAATTTTTAGATGCCCTGGTTGGGGCTGAAGATCTTGCAGCTAATGATGCATAGTTGCAAAATGGCTGCAAATCACCAAGTATCTATGAAAGGCATTGAAAGACTTTGCCAAATTATAGGTCTTCAAAGTCTGAAAATTTGTGTGGGAATGGATTCTAAGGTAGCTAGATTTTGGAAGAAATAATACAATACTAAATGAAATTAAATGTATTAATATAGGTGCTCTTAGTAAGAATTCTGGATTTAATGTGCTAGCTTAAGTGACAAGGAAGTGGTTCCAATTGGTTGCTTGCTTTAGTGTTTGAAATCTGAATTAAATGGTGCCCATATTAAGTGAAGTTAAGACACTAGGATTCCCTAGGATTCTATAGAGGAAGAAATCCAAAGTCTTTGAAGGTGAGAGTGTTGGAGTAGATTTATCATGTGTAACCTGCATATACCAACTATATCCTATTAATAAATAGATTGTTACAAGAAGCAGCAACACAGTGAAGTCTTATGTGTCTGCTCTCCATAGGCTGAGGATTTAGTGCAACATGTTGAAGTGTAAATGGGTTCTCTATTTTTAATGTAGAAAGCAGAATGTGGTTATGCAGCTACCACACTAGACAACAAATCTGGCATCAGAAACAGAATTTTCTGGTCCACAGGAATCTTCGTTGATGGTTAATTGGTCATGGGGCCTTAGGATGGAAATGAATGAACAATCCCTTAAGATATTATTTAATTTGTATTACTGTCAAAGCAGTGAACTTGGCTAACAGAGACCTGATTTGAGTTTCTAGAATAGAAGCACAGCTCTGTTTTGTGCCAAGGCCTTAATTGATATAGGTGACATTAGAGAGGCCAGTGGTATTGAAAGCAGGTTTTTTATTACTTGTATTAATACTCCTTGAGAGATGGGGGCATGCTATTCCTCTCAGGACACAAGGGAAACAGTGGGTTAGTCAAGAGGCAAAAGCAGGAGAAAGGGGAGAGCCCAGACGAAAGCCATCACTGGAGTTTCCTTGGGAAATGTAAGGTAGGAGAAACAGTTTAAATAATATCAGCAGGCTCTGGGTTGCAGGGGTGGGCCCAGTTGTCTGGAACTTGGTCCTGATTTAGGGCAGTGGGAATACTGGTCTGGTGTGTGAAAGGTGGATTGACTGGGTGACTGGGGGGCAGAGACTGCCCAGATTATTGATTTGCATATGAAAGGCATATCAAAGGACTGAGCCCTTGGCAATTTCTGAGGGTTGGCTAATCCTGAGAAGGGCAGTCTTTCCTAGCCAGTAGGATTTTTAAGACATCAAAATATTATAAAATATAGGAAATAAGAAACATGATTAATACATATCTTCCATCCTTGTGCAGACACAGAACCAGCTGAGTAAAGGGAGGTTAGCTCTTGAGGAAGATAGTTCCAAGATTCTTTCCCCTATACTTCGCCAAAGGACGGAAAGATATGTATCAGGGTAAACAGATGGTGGAAAAGAAAATACCCAAACATTCTGAGTATTTTCTGGATAAAGGCAATACTAATTATTGGAACTCAGAATGCCATTGTCAGATTGCAGCTTGCGGTGGTTGAAAATTAAGTACAGTTTTAACTACAGGCTCATTGAAACCTTAAATACATTCTGTGGTTATTTCCACAGTTTGTAAGGGCATACTTTTGATAGATACATGTATTAGTTGGCAGAATCCCTACAAAGACCTTCTATGTTGGAGTAGTGGCTGTTTATGATAGGAAGGACTAAATGGAAATCCTCAGGACTCTCTCTCTCTCTCTGTGCCAAAATGGTAAATACTCCACCACTAGGAGAAATACAGAGTGAAAGGCATCATCAAAAACTCTAAAACATGCAGGGATGCTGATCCTTCTACACACTCATCTAACTCACTAGTTTTGCTGATGCTGGAGATGGTTTGCTTGATCAGGAAGAATATCTACTTGCAGCCACTGTTTCTGACACGCTATTCTCACTGAAGGAAATCAATGCATTCTTTAGCAAAAGGTATAAAACTATTAACACAATGAAATCCCTTTTCTCCCAGGAGTCAGCAAATTTTTCTTTTCTTTTCTTTTCTTTTCCAGTTATTTCACTTTTACTATTTCACATTTTCAGCAAACAAGTCAAGGTGCAAACAGGGTTTTTTTGTCACATTAATATGTTAACTGGATTTTTTTGTCAAATAAATAGGGAATTCTCTTTAAATAACCATCTCCTCACTTCATGGCTGGCCCAGTAACAAACCTAGTGTTAGCGCGTCCAGGGGCACGAACAAAGCTTACGGGGAGACGCGGGCTGGGGGGCTGGCGGCAGGTCCCGGGTGGCTCGCAGGGTCGGGGGCCCTTGTTCCCCGCCCACCCAGCAGCCCCCAAGTGGACAGACATGCATTCTTCAGTTCCAGTCAGGAAGCGCCTTCTAGAGGGATGTGACAGGGGAGGGAATGCAGATTCCAGAAACACCAGCAGAAGGCAGAAGGGCTTCCTTCCAGCCTCAACCGCCCGGCCCCAACGCCACCCAAGCCCTGGGAGCTCATTTTACAGCTTCAAAAGTCACACAGGTGACAACAGCATGACGCAGGACAGGGAAGGGAAGGGAGGGTGGCTGAATGGAATGCAGACATGGTGGCCTTCTGAGACCAGCACAGACCAGCGGAGGGAATGTGAGCCGGGCCTGGCAGCCCGGGGAAGATGCCTGGCTGGTCTAAAGTGGCTCATGAAGCTGAGTGTAGCAGTGGCTGACAGACTGAGGGAGCTGGACTGCAGCGGAGGAGGTGGCCAGAGAGTCCCTTTGAGGGGAGAAGCTATGAGAGTGAAATAGGAACAGGGGATGCTCCGTGCTCCCAGGAGAACCCCAGATGGTGAGGGGGCACGCTGGGCAGCGTCATGGGCCCCGGGCTGGCATGGGAAGCTGGGCGGCGCCTCTCCCGAGGCCAGGGGCATTAATGTCCCACAGTAGTTCCTGGTAATTGTTTATGATCAGACCTGGAGGGAGAACAAGGCACCCCCCCCCGTCCCCCCAACCCCAGTGCGGCCCTGATAGGAGGGGTAGGATAGAGAGATGAAGGTGGGAGGCAGGGAGGCAGGAGGGCCTACTGGGTCTTCTTATCTTCTGGTGGATAGTAGGGAGGTGGCGGTGGCTGGCTCGTGGGCATGTAGACGTTATGAGGGTTGCCTGGGTTGCAATAGGTGCTGGCGGCGGCTTCGGCGTCCTTGGCTTCGGCTGTAGGAGTGGAGGGGACATCGGGGCTGCTGACCAGAGGCTCCATGGGCCCGGGGTAGGGCGGTGGTGGGGGCTGCACATATCCCATAGCCCCGTCCATCCTGGGAGGTCCTGGATAGAACTCAGGCGGGGGTGGTGGATAGGGGTAGCCAGGAGGGCAGGGGTACATTCCATTGGGGACTGGTGGGGCATAGACATAGGCCCCGCTGGGCATGTAAGTAAGAGTAGCCATAGGCTCCATTGGGGGCTTCACCTCTGGAGGCTTGAGATGCCACCTGGAGCATCCGCTGTCCGAACTCTATGGCGCCCCCTGCCATGAACGTCAGCTTGCAGGAAGCAGAGCCTCCCCAGCCACCTCCCGCTTCGGCCTTCACTGTTCCGTTGATGTAGTTTGCACCAAACACAGGCTGCTTGATCTCAGAGTCTTTCATGAGATAGAATGGCATCATGAAGGACTGCATGGCATCCTGCCCCTTGGACAGAAAGATGACCTGGTAAGGGGTAAGGTAGACGGTGCCTTTCTTGGTCCCTTTGAAGGCTTCTGGCACGTTCTTCATGTCATTGAATGTGAGTTCCACATGATCATAGGACATTAGGATGCTTTCGGTGTTGTTGACGATCACTCCACTGCCCTTCGAGTGATTCTTGTTGAGCGCCATAGTCTCTCCGACAGGGGTTCCGAGACTCCAAAATTTTCTTTAAATGACAAGATTGTAAATATTTTAGGCTTGCGGAGCCACATGATATCAACTGCACTTCTCAACTCAGACACTGTAGTGCAAAAGCAAATATAGTGAGCATGTGAATGCATGAGTAGAACTGTGCTCCCATAAAAGTTTATTTACAAAGAGGGGTGGCCACCGTCTAGAGGGCATTTTTGGAAGAATCTATAAACCGGTAAAGATGCCTTCTGAATCATCCTTCCAGGTCTGTGGAAACCCTCCTGAAAATTCTGGCACAGAGATATATGCACAAAGATAAGCCTAAGTGTGTTAGTAACTGTTAAACTTTTTAAAGTTTGGCTCTAGTATAGGAAAAACCAGTAAGATCAATGGAATAGAAACTGAATCCATAAATGGACCCAAATGTATTTGGGAATTTAGTACATAACAATAATGGTTGAAGTTCAATGGAAAATTCCCTCCCTTAAAAAAAAAAGAGAACACAGAGTTATTTATGTAATGGGAAACAAAGTCAAAAGCAATATAAATAAATAGTGAGGATAATTTTGGTAACTAATGAAAGAAGGGTGAATACATGGCACTGGAAGGAGAGGTGGATCGGAGCAAGTTTGTTTTGTTCTGTCTCTCTTGGTCAGCAAACTCTCTAGGCAAATCCAGCCTGCAACTTGTTTTTCTACTGCCTCATGAGCTAAGATTAGTTTTACATGTTTTTGATGATTGAAAAAGCAAAAGAAGAATAAAATTTCATGAATCGCAAAAATTAGATAAAATTCAAATTTTAATGCCCATAGAGTTTATTGGAACACACACAGACACGAAACAGGTGGCCAGCCCCTAGGTAGAGTTTACCAACCTCTGCTTTATCTCAATAACCAGAAAGCACAAAAATAAATTGCTTTAACCAGGATAGAAGAATCACACATTTTTACTTGTTAGGCTAGCACAAGAATCATTCTGGCAATAGATACATGCCAGGAGCAGAACAAATTTCTTCCAAGATAATTTTGGTCCTGAGATTCCGTGGCTGTCATGCACATATTTTCATGTCTTTTTCATCATATTCCAAGGATACAAAAAGAGATACTATGACACCTGATTTGCCTGTTAGGTCAAAGTCTCAAGCTTCCACAACAAACTATAAAAGTCCAGTTACACTTTTCTCTCAGAATATTGGGTGGAACTTGCATCACATCCATATAATTTAAAGGTTTCATTTTGATGTCTTTCCAAACAAAACATAATCTGATATAATGTGATTCAGCAAATTTACCTTTAGAAACAAATGTCCAGCAACATCTCCCCTAAAAGTAGAACGATAAAATTCTGCACCACAGAGAACTCTCCCATGTCCACAATTCCGTTTCTGTGTTTTCAGTAGCATAAACTATTTGCTACTAGGGCAATGCCCAGGCTATCACCCCATTCCTAACAACTCTCGTCTTTTGCAATCTGATCTCTCCCTGGTAGAGTGGCACCACAGTTTCTAAGTTACTGTGTGGCAATCGGATCAGTCACTGCAAAGCTGCTAATGTGTCGGCTTTAAACAGGCATATTGGATTTGAGACCAGCGCAGTGATAGAAGGCAGAACTGACAGCTGCTCTGTCAATCGTTTTTCTAGGCAGTGCCCTGCAGCTGTTTCTCATGATCACTTATTTACTGTTTAAAATAGGCATTTTATAACAATAACTAAAAGCCAACTTGACCACAAAGGAGAGAAAACTGGCCCTTGGGGTCTGGGGGAACTTGGTGGTCAGATGTATATTTAAGCTCATGTTGTTTGAATACATCTCATTACTCACTTTGAGCGACCCTATATCCTGCCACATTAAAGTGATCAAGCTCACCGCAAAGTGACTAAATGGAAATACACAGCCCACTTTGTCTTTAAGCCTTCCTCAAGAAACTAAAGTGCTTAAATATCTAGGAGAGATTTCCCTGATTCTGGAACTCAATGGCTATGACTTAACTGGCTTGGCTTTCAGTCTTAGTTTCTATAGTCTAATTAAGTGTGCTGAATGTTGGAAGCTTCCATTAGAAGTGCTGTGTCAGTCCAGTAAATTTTTCTCTTACATCAATTTGTGGCAAAATACACCAAGTAAATTATAACAGAGAGAGGGAGAGGTGAAGACAGAGAAAGAGAGATAGAGTAAGAGCTGAAGATGAAGACAGTGCTGTAGGCTCTGCTTATACACAGGTTGTCTTAGAAAATGTGAGCATTTCTGTCATTGTCATGAATGCTGTAAGTCAATAGGGTTGAACAGGCTTTGGTGAGATCCAGTTTACTTATTTAAATGGCTGGATCCTGAGGTGGCAGGGGTCAAGTGGCAGCACTCAACCATCAAAGGCAAGGTGGGCATAGCTACCATAATGGACAGCAGAGGCAAAGCAGCAATCAGAATACTCTGACTTGTGTAGTGCTCTGGCATTGGCTAATTAATCATGGTATTCCTAGAAGTGAAACTGATAGGAAGCCTACTGCATTTTCACTTAATTTATATAAGCAAAAAAATTCCAGGTCAAAAAAACAAAAGACTAATTTGAATTATAAAAACAGAAAATCACGACCCCTCAATCAATTTCCAGACTTGAGCCAATTTACAGTAGAACCCCTTGAAATGAGGAGAGGCTGGGTACCCTTGAGCTTCCTCCCCACTACACTACTGACAATTTATGCTGTTAATCTTTCTTCTATCCTTCCCCAAGGAGACTGTCAGCCTTTTACCAGGACAGCTGGGCACTGGGGAAAGGGAAATGATCAGCCATTTCAGGGGCTACTGGACACTGGCTCTGAGCTGACGTTGATTCCAGGGGACCCAAAACATCATTGTGATCCTCCAGCTAAAGTAAGGGCTTAGGGAGGTCAGGTAATAAATGGACTTTTAGCTCAGGTCCGACTTACAGTGAGTCCAGTGGGTCCCCGGACTCATCTTGTGGTCGTTTCCCCAGTTGTAGAATGCATAATTGGCATAAACATACTTAGCAGCTGGCAGAATCCCCCACACTGGCTCCCTTATTGGTAAAGTGAAGGCTATGATGGTGGGAAAGGCCAAATGGAAGCCATTAGAGCTGGCCCTACCTAAAAGAAACAGTAAATCAAAAACAATATCGCATCCCTGGAGGGCTGCCGGGATTAGTGCTACCATCAAGGACTTGAAAGATGCAGGGGTGGTGATTCCCATCACATCCCCATTCAACTCTCCCATTTGGCCTGTGCAGAAGACAGATGGATCTTGGAGAATGACGGTGGATTATCACAAGCTTAACCAAGTGCTGACTCCGATTGCAGCTACTGTACCAGATGCGGTTTCACTGCTTGAGCAAATTAACACATTTCCTTGTATGTGGTATGCAGCCATTGACTTGGCAAATGTCTTTTTGCCATTCCTGTCCATAAGGCCCACAAGAAACAACTTGCCTTCAGCTGGCAAGGTCAGCCATATACCTTTACTGTCCTACCTCAGGGGTATATCAACTCTCTGGCTTTGTGTTATAATCTCATTTGGAGAGATCTTGATCACTTTTCACTTCCACAAGATGTCACACTGGTTTGTTACATTGATAACATTATGCTGATTGGATGCAGTGAGCAAGAAATAGCAAACACACTGGACTTATTAGTGAGACATTTGCGTGCCAGAGGATGGAAATAAATCTGACTAAAATGCAGGGACCCTCTACCTCAGTAAAATTTCTAAGGATACAGTGGTGTGGAGTCTGTCGAGATATTCCTTCTAAGGTAAAGGACAACTAGCTGCATTTGGCCGCTCTTACAACCGAGAAAGCAGCACAGCACCTAGTGGGCCTATTTGGATTTTGAAGGAAGCACATTATTCATTTGGGTGTGTTACTCTAGCCCATTTATTGAGTCACCCAAAAGGCAGTAAGTTTTGAGTGGGGTCCAGAACAGGAGAAGGCTTTGCAATAGGTCCAGGCTGCTGCTCAAGCTGCTCTGCCACTTGGGCCATATGACTCGGCAGATCCAATGGTGCTTGAGAGGTGAGTGGCACACAGGGATGCTGTTTAGAGTCTTTGGTAGACCCCCATTGGTGAATCATAGCAGAGGCCTCTAGGATTTTGGAGCAAGGCCCTGCCATCTTCTGCAGATATTTACTCTTCTTTTGAGAGACAGCTCTTGGCCTGTTACTGGGCTTTGGTGGAAACTGAACGTTTGACCTTGGGTCATCAAGTTACCATGTGATCTAAACAGCCTATCATGAGCTGGGTGCTTTCTGACCCATCAAGCCATAAAGTGGGTCATGCACAGCAGCATTTCATCATAAAATGGAAGTGGTATATATATGACTGGGCTTGAGCAGTTCGTGAAGGCACAAGTAAGTTACATGAGGAAGTGGCTCACATGCCCATGGTATCTGCTCCTGCCACCCTGCCTTCTCTTCCCCAGCCTGCACTGATATCTTCATGGGGAGTTCCCTGTGATCAGTTGGCAGAGAAAGAGAAGAGTAGGGTCTGGTTCACAGATGGTTCTGCATGATATGCAGGCACCATTCGAGAGTGTACAGCTGCAGCACTACAGCCCCTTTCTAGGACATCCCTGAAGGGAAGTATGAAGGAAAATCTTCCCAGGGGGCAGAATTTTGAGCAGTGCACCTGGTTGTGCACTTTGCATGGAAGGAGAAATGACCATATGTGGAATTATATACTGATTCACGGGCTGTAGCCAATGGTTTTGCTGGATGGTCAGGGATTTGGAAGAAGCATGATTGGAAAATTGGTGACAAAGGCATTTGGGGAAGAGGTATGTGAATGGACCTCTCTGAGAGGTCAAAAACTGTGAAGATATTTGTATTCCCTGTGAGTGCTCATCAACAGGTGACCTCAGCAGAGGAGGATTTTAATAATCAAGTAGATAGGATGACCTGTTTTGTGGACACCACTCAACCTCTTTCTCCAGCTACTCCTGTCATTGCCCAATGGGCTCATGAACAAATTGGCCATGGTGGCAGGGATGGAGGATGCATGGGCTCACTCACCAAGGCTGACCTAGTGACAGCTACTGCCAAGTGCCAAGTTTTCCAGCAGGAGAGACCAACAGTGAGCATTTGATATGGCACCACTCCTTGCAGTAATCAGTCAGCTACCTGGTAGCAGGTTGATTATATTGGACTTCTTCCATCATTGAAAGGGCAGAAGTTTGTCCTCACTGGAATAGACACTTCCTCCAGATATGCGTTTGCCTATCCTGTACACAGTGCCTCTGCCAAGACTATCATCCATGGACTCATGGAATGTCTTATCCACCAACATGGTGTTCCACACAGCACTGCCTCTGACCAAGGCCCTCACTTTATGGCTAAGGAAGTGCAGCCATGAGCTCATGCTCATGGAAGTCACTAGTCTTACCATGTTCCCCATCATCCTGAAGCAGCTGGATTGATAGAATGGTAGAATGGCCATTTGAAGTCACAATAACAATGCCAACTAGGTGACAATACAGGGCTGGGGCAAAGTTATCCTGAAAGTTGTGTATACTCTGAATTGGCATCCAACATATGGTACTGAATCTTTCATAGTCAGGATTCACAGGTCCAGGAATCAAGGGGTGGAAGTGGAAGTGGCACACCACTCACCATCACCCCCAGTGATGGTGGGTGGTGCCACCCATACAATAGCAAAGTTTTTGCTTCCTGTTCTCCCAACATTATGCTCTGCTGGCCTTCGGGTCTTACTTCGTTTCAGAGGAAGGAATGCTGCCACCAGGAGACACAACAGCAATTCCATTAAACTGGAAGTTAAGATTGCCACCTGAACACTTTGGGCTCCTCCTACCTTTAAATCAACAGGCTTTAATAAGGGAGTTACAGTGTTGGCTGGGGTAATTGACCTGAACTATGAAGATGAAATCAGTCTACTACCCCACAATGGAGGGAAGGAAAAGTACGCATGGAAGACAGGAGATCCATTAGGGCATCTGTTAGTATTACCATGACTGGCGATTATGATCAATGGGAAACTGGCCGGGCGCGGTGGCTCAAGCCTGTAATCCCAGCACTTTGGGAGGCCGAGGTGGGTGGATCACGAGGTCAAGAGATCGAGGCCATCCTGGTCAATATGGTGAAACCCTGTCTCTACCAAAAATACAAAAAAAATTAGCTGGGCATGGTGGCGCGTGCCTGTAATCCCAGCCACTCAGGAGGCTGAGGCAGGAGGATTGCCTGAACCCAGGAGGCGGAGGTTGTGGTGAGCCGAGATCTCGCCATTGCACTCCAGCCTGGGTAACAAGAGCAAAACTCCGTCTCAAAAAAAAAAAAAAAAAAAACAAAATCAGTGGGAAACTATAACAGCCCAATTCAGGCAGGACCACAAATAGCCCAGACCCTTCAGAACTGCTGGTTTGGGTCATTCCACCAGAAAAAAGACTATAATATGCTGAGGTGCTTGCTGAAGGCAAAGGGAATACAGAATGTGTAGTAGAAGAAGGTAGTCGTTAATACCAGCTACAACCAGGGGACCAGTTGCAGAAATGAGTACTGTAATTGTCATGAGTATTTCCTCCTTCTTTTGTTAAAAACATGTTTATGCATGTTTACATATACACTTGTACTAAGAAAACATCTTCATTTTATTTCCTTTGTCCTTTTTCATGTGCCATAAAATTCATTGACTTCATATCAGAATTTAAGTATTGTTACCTTTATATAACGGCATCTGGGTTGGGGATTGGTGTGTTTTCGGTTGTATAAAGGATAGTTGTATTATGTTAGGTGTAATTATGACCTTATTATTGTCTTTATTTGAAGATTGTGTTTGATATCAGGAGATGTGTATGGGTTCAAGTTAACAAGGGTGTGGACTTGTGATGGTTAATACTGAGTGTTATCTTGATTGAATTGAAGGATACAAAGTATTGATTCTGGGTGTGTCTGTGAGGGTGTTTCCAAAGGAGATTAACATCTGAGTCAGTGGGCTGGGGAAGGCAGACCCACCCTCAATCTGGGTGGGCACCATCTAATCAGCTGCCAGCGAATACAAAGCAGGTGGAAAAAAGTGAAAAGGCTACGCTGGCTTAGACTCCCAGCCTACCCCTTTCTCCCATGCTGAATGCTTCCTGCCCTCAAACATTGGTCTCCAAGGTCTTCAGCCTTGGGACTTGGACTGGCTTTCTTGCTCCTCAGCTTGCAGATGGCCTATTGTGGGATCTTGTGATTGTGTGAGCTAATACTACTTAATAAATTCCCTTTTAAATGTGTATCTATCCTATTAGTTCTGTCCCTCTAGAGTACTGTGACTAATACAGAGGTAAACAATGCGAACACATGGACACATAAAGGGGAACAAAGGATACTGGGGCATACTTGAGAGCTGAGAGTGGGAGGAGGGAGCAGAGCAGACAGAATACCTGTCAGGTACTTTGTTTATTACCTGGGTGATGAAATAATCTGTACACCAAAGCTCCATGACATGCAGTTTACCAATACAACAATCCTGCACATGTACCCCTGAACCTAAAATAAAAGTTAAAAAAAAATTGCTCCAGGACCAAGAGTTTCCCTGATTTCTCTCAATGTCAGCACGAGAAACTAAAGTGCACAAAAATCAAGAGAAATTCTATTGGCTTTATCAGACAGTCAACTTTGATCAATCTATGTGAACAATAAGATTAAAATAAGAATTTGGGGGTTTTATGTATAAAAATCAGCTGTTTGTTATCTGAAAAAAATTTGTTAGTGGATCAAAGATTTATGGTATCTATTGTCTGTGAAAATGTTTTAAATTGCCTTCTTGAAGGAGATAATATCTTGGTTCCCCCCCACCATACCCCAGTGGATTTAGTTGCTGTCAGATGGTTCTCCTTTTCACTTTGTGAAACTGGAACTTTAAAATAGTCAAAGTTTCTCAAGGAATTTTCCCAAGATTGAGTATGTTTTCAAATTAAATTCATGAAAATTTTCAGAAATGGAAAATAATATTTTGAAAAGCCCCAAATGAAATAGATGTGTTTAAATTATATAGGGTTTGAAAACACAATTTCACATGATGACCATCTAATATACAATTAGATAAATACTCAAGCTCTTTTGAGTGGGGACATTGGGAGACTGGAGGTGAGAGGGGGTCCTAGTAGGTGGGGATGCACCTCAGCTTTCCAAGCCTTGCCAATCTTTTCCTCTCATGCTTCCCATTGTCTCAGGAGTAGAACCATCTGTGGATGAGGAAGAGAATTCGGTTGGCATCCCTGCACTGAACACCAACCTAAAAGTGTGGGTAAGGGTGATTAGAACTCTTGAGGGTGAGGCAGGTGTTGTGTGAGAGGGAGAGAATTGCAAAATGAAAGAGTAGTGGGGTTAGGTAAACAACGGAAGTCTCTGCTCCCAAATTCAGTCCTTCCAGGGATGAAGGCCCTCACACATGAGAAGCATAGCCTTAGTGCTCCAGTTAGCACTGGAGGATCACATCACACATTCAGGATTCATGGACGTCAGAGCTGAGTCAGGTGTGGCCATGTGATCCTGTGGCCACTCTGAATACAGGGCCAAGACTGCTCCAGAGTCTGTCTGTCTGCCTCTTGATGGAGAGACTTTTTGTTAGGGCTGCAAAAACTGGGCCCAGGAACAGTTCTTTGTCCTTGTATACATTTGGAAGGTAGCAGGATTGTCCTCATTCATAGAAATAAGATTTAGAAAATGCTGGCGCCCGTGGCGCGGGGCACTGGGGCCCTTTTGCTGAGGGGCTTTCTACAGGCTTCGGGCCGCGTTCCGCGCTGCGCCTCCTCTGGGTTGCCCCGAAACATCGTGGTACTGTTTGTGCTGCAGCAGGAGGCCTGGGTGGTGGAGCGAATGGGCCGATTCCATCGGATCCTGGAGCCTACAATGTAACTCTGCAAATCGATGGAGTCCTTTACCTGAGCATCATGGACCCTTACAAGGCAAGCTATGGTGTGGAGGACCCCGAGTATGCTGTCACCCAGCTACCTCAGACAACCATGAGATCAGACAGAGCTCAGCAAACTCTCTCTGGACAAAGTCTTCCGGGAACGGGAGTCCCTGAATGCGAGCATTGTGGATGCCATCAACCAGGCTGCTGACTGCTGGGGTATCCAGCTGCCTTCGTTACGAGATCAGGGATATCCATGTGCCATCCCAGGTGAAAGTCTATGCAGATGCAGGTGGAGGCAGAACGGCGGAAAGGGGCCACAGTTCTAGAGTCTGAGGGGCCCCGAGAGTCGGCCATCAACATGGCAGAGGGGAAGAAACAGGCCCAGATCCTGGCCTCTGAAGCAGAAAAGCCTGAACAGATAAATCAAGCAGCAGGAGAAGCCAGTGCAGTTCCCGCCAAGGCCAAGGCGAGGGCTAAAGCTGAAGCTATTCGAATCCTGGCTGCAGCTCTGACACAACATAATGGAGATGCAGCAGCTTCACTGACTGTGGCGGAGCAGTATGTCAGCGCATTCTCCAAACTCGCCAAGGACTCCAACACTATCCTGCTGCCCTCCAATCCTGGTGATGTCCCCAGCATGGTGGCTCAGGCCATGGGTGTATATGGAGCCCTCACCAAAGCCCCAGCACCAGGGGCTCCACACTCGGTCTCCAGCGGGAGTAGCAGAGATGTCCAGAGTACAGATGCGAGTCTTGATGAGGAACTTGAAGGAATCAAGTTGAGTTAGTGGAGCTGGGATTGGTCAGGGAGTCTGGGGACAAGGAAGCAACATTTCCTGATTCTGGCTCCAGCTTCCCTGACAAGATTTTGGTTTTTATTTTTTTTATTTGAACTTTAGTCATGTAATAAACTCACCAGTGGCAAATGAAAAAAAGAAAAAAAAAAAAGAAATTAAGATTCAGCAAAATGCATGCAACTTGGCTTGGATTATGGAGGGGCATGGAGAAGACCATTTGGGGAGCCCAGTTCCCAACCAGAGGTGGATGGTCAGGGTGCAGGGGCACATGGGGTGGCCCAGGCTGCCTGTCACCCCTATATTGGTTTAGATCCTTTCCTTCCATGAACCTCAATTTCCCTCTCTGATGGTTGATGGCCTGGGGGCTTTTCAAGAGCTTGACCTTGCAAGAGGCCCAAAGGAAATAACCTTAGACAAAGCCCTAGGTAAGAATCGAGTCAGCCCAGACCAGGGTTCAAATTGGCTAGCATTTTACCTCCAGATCCAACCCATATCTCTCCCTCCAAGCTTCTGAAAATGACTCTGACTGCAAATGGATCTTCTGAGGTGTGAGGATGTGTGTAGTTTCCTATAGAATGTGCCTTTGGTTTTGGTACTTCCTAATATTCGTGAGGTTCAAGGCAAAAAATGTATGGTGGCACAACAACCAAATGTCTAGATGCTTACAGTGTAAACACCAAGCTCCAACCTGTTAAGGAAAATATGTTCTATCCTCAAATTTAAAGTTAAATAGGGCTGGGAGAAGATTTGGCTTGGTCTGTTGCTCACTGGTGCCGTGCTCCTGAGAAAGACAGATCACCCCTTATACCTGAAGTTTGTATGTTAGTTCTTCTCTACCCTGACTGCAAGTAAGAATTATCTTAAGGTACTTATGCAAAATATACTGTTGCCTGGCCCTCAGTCTAGAAGAATTAAATATAAATATTGTGAGTGGGGTTGATGTAAGGCGTTTAAACAAAAGATTTAGGTGATTCAATGTGCAGCCAGATGTGGTAACATTTTTTAGATGATTATTAATTTTTTTTGAGATGGGGTCTCACTCTGCTACTCAGACTGGAGTGCAGTGGTGTGAGTTCTGCTCACTGCAACCTCCACCTCCCGGATTTAAACAATTCTCCTGCCTCAGCCTCCTGAGTAGCTGGGATTACAGGCATGTGCCACCACGCCTGTCTATTTTTTGTATTCTTCTGTGGAGGCAGGGTTTCACTATGTTAGCCAGGCTGGTCTTGAACTCTGAACCTCAAATGGTCCACCAGCCTCGGCCTTCCAAAGTACTGGGATTACAGGTGGGAATCACCATGCCCAGGCAGGTGACAGCTTTTGGTCTGTAAAAGAATGGACTTATTCTCTTAGAACCCTTTGGCTCTTAGTATGTCTGAATCTAAAAAAAAATTCATTTCAGAGTTCAAAAGCTTTCTTTTTCCAATGTTTTTCCTAAATGCTAAATCATTCTATTTTTATTGGACTATATGACTTTTGGCTGAAAATAAAATATTGAGCTCTTGAGAACCAAAAGTTTCTGATTCATTTTGATATTCTCGAAGGCTGGCACCTGAGTGGCATCTCATTAAGAGCTCAATTCATTCAATATGGTCCAGGTACTGGGTGAGGCACTGAGAATATCGAGAAGCATTCCACCAATTTCATCATGAGGGGAAAAATGTGAATATTTGAAGGCAGCTGTCTTTCTCCAGAGTAACTTGACAGGATTTTCTGCATTTTCCTTGTCTTCTCTAGAATTATTTCAGTACATAAATTTCCCTCTTCTAACATGTGGGACCTGAAGGCCCTTAAAGGCAATAGAATCATTAGGACTTATTAGTTACTTCTAGATTCTAGTGTTCAGAGCATTGCTTAATTTTCATCATTGCCCTAAAATTATGACTTTAAGATTGAGAATAAATAAAACACAAATCTGGTTTTTAGAAGACACAGTTTTATTTGAAATAAAAGGGTTGCAATTCTCCCATGTCCCATTATTCTAACTTTTTGTTAAGCTCTAAGCCCTTCTTAATATATCACAGATGAGAAGAAAATCTTTCTCTTTGGAAGAAAATAGATTTATTATCTTTTATTCTATTTGGTTTTTGACTTCTTCCCTCACTTGGAGTCCTAGCAAATACTCCTAGGGGTGATCGAGGGGGACAGATGCATAAAGGCAGAGATGTATTCTTTTAAGATCTGTTTGCTTCCTCATGTGTCATATTCTATGAAAATTCCTTTTCATTGTTTCAAAGTTTGTTTTGTTTATATTCTTTCCCTTACAGCTAATTCATTTTGTGTTTCCAGGCCACCTTCATACTTGAAAGTCCTACAACTCATTTGGAAGAAATACTGCAGCCTAATGCTCTGTTAGTTTACTTTAGCAGTCTTTGTATATAATTTTCCTGTCAAAATTTACCGCATCTATTGAATGGATGTTAAGCTGCTCTTAAATCAATCAATATAAGTTTTCTTTGCAATGTTATCTCTCATTCTATCATAAAATGCATCTTTCACTCCTGTCTGGCCAGCCTCCTCACTGTTAAACTATTAGTCAATAAAATTAATACATGTTTCCGGTCATTTGTTGAATAGATATTTATATTGGGTCCCCTCTATGTTTGTGTTTGTCTCTGGGGATGGTTCAGATACTTGGTACACATGTGCATACATTTCAAACCTGTCATTGTGACAGCCAAGGATGTTAGTGTACCAACCTCTGTAAGCAGGAAAATGGCCGTTATTGTTATCCCAGAGATATAAAGGAGATGTTTTGGCAAAAGAGTGAGAGTAGAGAAATATTATTCTTCTGGACTCTTCTATGCTTTGGGTTAATGAAAGTTAACTTTACAACTTCCATTCCCCTGGCTGACAATTGGAGGAAACATTTATCACAGGGCCATACAGATTAATAAGTGTGAAGTCCAGGTGTCTTTGGAGGGGCAGTCTTCTGGATCTTCTGAAACCACAAAAACTACTCCTTCCAAAGAAAATGCTTGCAGCCATAAAGGAAAAGGGCAAGTCTCTGAACTCCCCTCTCCATCTCAGCACTCTATGCTGAGATTCTGCTTTGGCTGTGCTCTAAGGGATGGCACCTGGGCTTTTGATGTTTGTACAGCAAACGCAAGATGCAGGAGCTTCAAGAGATCCTGAATCTGCCAAAGCTGCCAGATGCTGGGATCTTACTTTTCCATTGCTTGGTATTTCTGTTGGAATAATTATTTTTATGGTTAAAGGCAATGCATCTCTTCTTGCTAAGGTGTTATTTCATTGGGATTGTTCATTTGGATTTTGGAAAATTTCTAAGAGGAAAAGCAAACCCACATGGTCTGGAGAAAAAAGACTGTGTCAGCCACTCACATTGAGACTCAGTAACCTGGAAGGAACACAGGAAATAGAAGAAAGGCTTTGAACACAACCCCCCAACCCTCAACACAAATAAATGCTAGCAAATGTGTGCAGAGATAATACAAGATGAGAAAGACAGTTTCCAGTGGGAATTAATGCTGACTGAGTTAAAAAAGAAAATGAAAGTATTACTCAATGGTTTCAGGATGTGGGATGGGATAAAATGAGGTACATGGGGTATTTAAGGTCCAAAGAGGTGGGCATGTAGCCTATTGTGAGTCTTAAAGGATTAGGTGGATAGGTGAAATGCTGGGGCTGCATCGGGGAAAAGTGCTCATTGCTACTCAGTGCTCGTTGTTGCTTCTAGAAGCTCTCAGCTGACAGAGCAAGGCAATAAATATGTGAATATGCACCCATCTACACGTATCTATAAATATTTCTATATGTAAACATCTGTATCTATATTACACTAAACTGAGTTCATGATGATGTCTTCAACTCTAATCCGTTGTTGCATGGCTCATCTAGCCTTCTCCATACTTGCAACCTCCCACTCCAACAGGGAGACCCTAGCTTCTGCCATCTGCCAACCATTTCTTTAATTGTTCAGGTCCAATATGCATGTATAGTAGTTTCAGAACTGTTAACCTATAGCTCATGGGAACATGTTACGCCTGATTTTATTTATCTTCCCAAATGGTGTTTGAGAAACTATTTGGCATGTCAGGTCCTAATGCACCAGTGATACATAAGAATTCTTTTTTACATAGCTCTATAGCTTATTCCTCTGTCCTTTTTTTTTTTTTTTTTTTGAGACAGAGTCTTGCTCTGTTGCCCAGGCTGGAGTGCAATGGCGTGATCTTGGCTCACTGCAACCTCTGCCTCCTAGGTTCAAGTTATTCTTCTCCCTCAGCTTCCCAAGTAGCTGGAACTACAGGTGTGCACCACCACACCTGGCTAATTTTTATATTTTTAATAAAGACAGGGTTTCACCATATTGGCCAGGCTGGTCTCAAACTCCCAACGTGTGATCCGCCTGCCCCGGCCTCTCAAAGTGCTGGGATTACAGAGCTTATTCCTTTTTATTGCTAACATTTAGAGTGCTGAGATGGTGAGCTGAGATGGTGCCACTGGATTCCAGCACGGTCAATGAAGCAAGAGCATGCCTCAAAAATAAAAAGGTTAAAATGTTAAGTTTTATGTATGTTTTACTACAATAAAAATTTTTAAGTTAAAAAATTAAAAATTAAATAAAACATAGTTTAAAAGTAAAAACATAATAAAAAGTCAACTAGAACATGTTGCTTGATAGTCCTATTAAGGTCATCTATGTCTTTAATGGCTTTATGCCTGGTTGATCTATCAGTTACTGAAGAGGAAGGATGGAAGTCTCCAACTGTAAGAGTGGATTTGTCTATTTCTCCAGTTTTGCTCGTGTATTTCTCTATTGTTTGGTGCATACATGTTTAAAATTATTGTATATTCTTGGAGAATTAACCTTTGTATTATTATTTAATGCTCTTTCTTTATCTCTGATAATTTTCTTTGTTCTGAAGTCTACCTTGTTTTTTGAAATTGACACAGCCACTCCAGCTTTCTTTTGATTAGCATTAGTATGGTATAGCTTTCTTATCCATTTACTTTAAACCTTTCTGAGTCTTTACATTGAAAGTGGGTTTATTGGAAATAACATATCGTTGGGTCTCAAATATAGACTGGTAATGTTATTTCCAAAGTTGCAGAACTAGCTACTTTTATGGGTTGAAATTTTAAACATGTACTTAACTATCAAATCATAT